CTACAAAGAGTCAGCATCCGGAGCAGGGCGGAGGATGGACCGGGCTGTTTCCCCCGAAAGCCTCGGAAACAAAACACCATTTACCGTGTGGTTAACCTTACCTGGTCGTAGCGGGGTCTTCCCAGCTGGAAAGCGGGACACGCTGCAGACTCCGCCATGACACCAAACTATTTATTTATTAACGAAGTGGCTCATGACGGGATTTTCAAGTGGAACTACAATCATGTGTAACTACTGAAGCAACGGCTCGCTGCGCCTGTTGGGATATGTAGTCTTCTGGTTTGCGTTAACACTGGCAAAGTTGAGCCGCATGGCTACACATCCCAAATAATCGATAAGGTGAAAGATATTGCATAACTGTTCGGATTGATCTTGGGAGACATGTCAGCTGATGCACCCAGAGGTGCCAAGCCAGGGCGTCGGCGTGGAATAATGATCAGCCCCGGGTCATGATCACATGGACCACTTAATCAATAACCAGAGGGTGACAACACAAAGCTGCACTTTAATTATACTACCGCCATAAAATAACCAAAGGCAGGACTTTTATGAGACTGACTAAGATCTAGATGGTGTACATTATAAGCCTTAGTCAACTCCAGGCTGCAGGGCAAAGGTGGAAATTACATTAAAATGACATTTTACAAAACTCAAAATACTTCCAGCTTCACTTTCAAAGGTGTTTATACACTGAAAGCAGGGGCTATACCACTATGAAGCGTTAGTGCTCCTTACAAAATAAAAAAACTAAATGGTTGGAGGAAGGAAGTGGAAACAATCAGTGCCCTATATTTACTTACCTACAATTTTTACAGTACGTAACATTTTAGGGCACATGATCTGCTTATTCTAAGTACTCAGTTCTGTCTTTTTATTCATGTGCCAAGAGGCAAATAGTGTATTTTACTCCACTACACTAATATTTGGCATATGCAGTTACTAGTTACTTACAGATAAAGATATTACATACAAAACATGATGAACAAATCAAATATGATAGATTGTTATAGGCCTAACTAACCAGTGATGGGCTATACAAAGGAGTCGGCCCCAGGTAAACAACATTAAAATGTTGCTTTCATGGTCTTGTATCGGTGTCATCCCTGGGAGAAACTGGGGGTTCAGTGTCATGCTCAAGGACACTCCGACAGGTGGACAGCTGGGAATCAAACCGCTTATATTCCAGTCAACCCGCTCTACCTCCTGAGCCACAGCTGCCCCTTGTCCATGCATAATCTATAATAATATGACACTGGCAGAGGCTTTTTTTGTGCACAATTTATACTTATATTTAATTCTCCACAAGTACAGGACTTTTACTTGGAATAGAGAATTTAGGGGTATCAAACCGGAATACTTCTACAACTGGAGACTTCATTCTCACTTTTTTATCCCTAATGGGACAGAAAAATGTAAACACCCTTTTCTGCTCAGTCTAAACAGAAAATGTGCCAAATCTCCTGAGTCTACAGACAAAATGACATCTATGCAGCAGAAACAAATGTAATCCAGTAACAGTCTGAAGTCAGTACTAAAAAGAGACAACAGTCACCAGCAGTGCAAGGACAGCATGCCATCAGCAGTAACAGACTCAACTTAGCTTTAGTAAATCAGATAGGTGTGTACATGTTCTGTGAAACTATACTGCATTTTCACAGTATTTCTAGGTCCTTGCTGAAACAGCAGGTTTCCACCCAGCTCAAGTTAGGGGTGCTCTCTAGTGGAGCGAAATAAGCATTGCCATGACACGCCTTACACAGCATATGAAGACAGTATGCAGGATGCCATGGATTAGTCTCTGCAGTCTAAGGTCTGACCAATGAGAAGTCAAACTTTGATAACTCTGGACTTTATTTTTATTACAGTACTGCGGTCATGTAAAGCATTGCAAGTTGCTACAGTGGTACCAGAGTGGTATTAGAGAATGTTTTATCATGACAAAAGTACCTAGAAATAACTTATTATACTCTTATTTACTGCATTGATGCATTATTATTTTTATATTCTATGTTGCTTTTTTAAATTGCAAAATGGACAGAAACAAAACATTCTCATTATTTATAATGTAACAAGGAATAAGAATTTAAGGAACACAGTATTTTGTAAACAAAAAAGAAAAAAAAACTGAAACTGAATACAAACAATAAGTCTTGATCCTCTTTAGTCTTTTCTGGTACAAACATCAATACTGTTCTTTGCTTATTATACAGCAATGTTAATGCAGAAACATCTCTTTTTATAGTATTCACACTGCAGAGCAGCATTTTATAATGTATTACTGCATAAGGTGGTGTTTCTGAAATTCTATTTGAAAATATGTAATTAACTCAAGTTAACCGTTGTGAATTCATCATTTCATTAAACTAGTCAAGAGGAAAATCTTGAGACAAAATGTTGTTTTTGCAGTTTTATAGCTGCATTTTTAAGATTACTTGAGCTAACGTCATATTTTGCCCGAGGATCTACTTCAGTCCCTGCAGAGCACATTGAATGCACTTCCACCGTGTCTTCTCTAGCCTGTATTCTATGTTATGTGAAAGCAGTGGGTTTAAAGGTTAAACTTACGTCAGCCGACTACCTTAAATTAATCTAGTAAAAGCACCGGCAAAACAATCATTGACTTCTACTTTGACTGAAGCTTTTCACATACCAAATTTTTTGGGTTGTGCCATAGTAAACTAACCAGCATGCATGTTGGGTAATATGGTGTCTACATCAACAGGGCAGTATTGTAGCAGTGAGAAGACCTGGATGATTATGAGATCTGATTTTGTGGTGCATTGTCTGTAACTGACTCTAGAGCCCAGTCTTAATAACCTAGTACTCTAGTACTGTCGTCACTTGTGCCTGGATCGCACTTGAAGCAGCGTGGGTGTCTGCTCCATGATCCGCAGTAAAAGATTATCAATGTAGTCCTCCAGGTCTCGAACTTGCAACTTGACCTTTTTCAGCTCTGCCTCACATTTCTGCAGCTGCGCCTCCTGCCGCTCGGAGGCTGCCTGCTGCTTCTGCATGTCCATCTCCTGCTGCAGCAGCAGGGCGATCAGCTCCATGTTGGTCAGGTGCTTGTACTGGGCCGAGTTGTCCACTGTCACCTCCTTCGAGAGAGGAATCAGGAACGGTACAGATGTCAGATTTCATGTGTCATACATAGGTGTGTGAAACTGGTGTTTGAGCTAATTTAGCATAACGATGGAAGGCTAACAGCCAGCCTAGTGCAATGACATCTCCCGGTACATGCTGGTTTTTACAAGAATTAAACAAAAAAGATAAAGGGTGTGCTGCTGTTTGTCACATTCAGGCAGAGCCAGGCTAGCTGTTCCCCTTTTTGGGTCTTTGTGCTAAACTAAGATAACTATCTCCTCGCTGTGGTGTTAGACATACAACATACAAACGTGTGGTATCGACTATCTCACCTAACTCTCAGCAGTACAGTGAATAAGAATGAGTACCAAACTATCCCTTTAAATAAGAACTGTGATTAAAAGGACTAATTACTCTCATATCCACTAGCTCACTATGGTGGAAAATAAAACAGGCGTTTTTTCAGTTGCAGGTGGTAAAAAATGAAGTGAGTCACAGGAAACAATGGAGACATCACACCAGTTATCCTTCTGCAGTGTATTTGAATAACACCATGTGCTGGTGTTAATGAATGCTCATGGAAGCATTAAATATGTGGACCTAATGACTTTCTGTGATTTAGTGTGACGTGTTAATAACTTCTTTCTTCTGCTGTTTGCAACACAGTGAGACTCACTGACAAACTGTCATATTACTACAGAGGGTTACAAAAGATTAGTCTTTAGTTTTTGTTTCACAGTACCTGACTTTTCTCAGCTGTGACCTGGTGGGCAGTGCGCCCAGGGTGGATAGTTGACTTGAGCTTCTCCAGGACCGAACGACCCTCCTTCTTCTCTGATTGGCTGGGGGTTAATGGCTTCACTGGATGAGGTCTGAAAAGCAGAGAGGGCAGCACTGGCAGTTCAACCCTGATATACTGTATGTTTACTGTAAGTGCATAACTGTTTCCTAATGACTCATCTTGTATCGTAAATATTGGCAGGTTACTGAATTTTGCTTCATTCAGAAGTTACAACTAAACCTCACACACAATTGCACATCAAAGCAGAAAATCTGACCACTCACTCTGTGGAAGCAATAAAACACAACCTACTGTTCTTTCAGCACAACATGTAGCTGTAACTGTCAAATTTCCACAAGAAATTTGCTAAAATGCAAGTGCAGTGACTCGCTTGCTACTGGAGGATGAAATCATCCTGAGGAGAACATGGGTTCACCTTAAAACTACAAGAACAGAAAACTAGAATTCAAATTAAAGCTACACTGTGATCACAGGAGAAATATTTCACTTTCATTTTATTTCTTGTTGCTTTTATTACTGATTTGTTCTAAATGACCAAGCAACAGTGATTTTGTTTCTAAGTCAAACAGCATATGAAAGCACAATTCTATTTTAAATATAATGATTTATCCTTTGTATCTGCTGTAAACACAGTCTGAACAAAATGATATAACTAGAAATTCTGGGTTCCCTGAGCAGTTGTAATAAATATCCATAATTCCTTGCATGTTGAGTCGTATCTATATCTAATACACTAGACTTACATTATGATGACTGTCTCATGCTCTGACAAAACTACATACATACTGTGAATATAATTACATTATATTCAAGTAATATAACTTACCCCTATGAGGATAAGAGAATTATTTTTTATCCTATTATGTGGACATATGTTTAGCTTTTATTAGCAGGCAGGTAAAATTGAAGCAAAGCTAAGTCTAGGTAGAACAAAGTGTCACAAAACAGCAGACTTGCAACAGCTGACATGAAACTGAAGCATGAGATGAATAACTTAAATGGGAAGCAAAGCCAAGAACAGCGCAGCAATCATCCAACCACTTTGGATGAAACAGCATGACTTACATAAATGCGTTTGACATCAAGCAAGCCAGGCCAACAGTAAACAAAGCAACCAGAGCAACACTTTTTTTTACAAACGTACCACTTATAGTAAATGTTTTGTAGTGTATGTGAAAATCTTGTCTGTTATTCCAATTTAACTGCAGCTTGTAAATACATTAGCTCCTAGTGTGAGGATTCTCACCTGCTCTCCTGACGGGGCAGATTGCTAGCTGGCTGTTTCTCTTCAGTCAAAAGTGAGTGCTGTGCATCGACCAGGGGCTGGTCAGTGGTGGAGGTGGTAGAGTAGGAGGAGGTGTAGGGGGCCACAGCCAGAGTGGTGCTGGCTCCAGCACTTGAGGGATGTATGAAGGGGCAACAGAGGAGGGTAGGGTGGAGGCTGACCCGTGCATCAGCTGACAGGGAGAGTGCAGAAGGGACAGAGGGATATGATGGTTCAGGATCTTGCAAAGATTGCCCTGTCTTTATTTTGGACGGGGTTCTCGTGTTTGGTGCTACTTTTGCATGCAGGTCTTCAAAACTGATTTCAGAGGGTTTTCCTCTTACACAGTTTTCTGAAGGAAGTCCTGTATCGTCTTTTGAACAAACTTGTGAGATTGTGTTCAACTCACTGTGATGTGTTTGGTTGATTTTGGTACGATCAACTTGCAAAGCAAAATCTGCCTCTTTATCTAATGCCTGTACAGAAGAAAGAGCTGATTTAGTGGGATGATATGACAATAGTCCATCAGTGTCTTTTAAAATATTTGGAATGAGAGACAACAGCTGTTCAAACTCTTTGTCTCCGCTTTCGTTTTGGCTGTTTGGGCTGCCTCTGCTGTTCTGTCGGGACACTCCTTTTGGTCTAAAACGTGCACTAACCACACCAGGAAATGATCCTGTGTGGGAAACTGTGCTTACTGTAGCTGGTGGGTTGCCATTATCATCAGTGTCTTTTTGAGTCCCTCTAAAATCATCATCACCTCTTGTTTTATCAACTCTGGATTCAGTTTCAAGATTGGTTGAATTTGTTTCATTTAGTGACAACAAAGCAGCAATCTCTCTGCTGTTGACGCTGGAGTGGCCATGTGTTTCCATGTTATTCAGCTCCCACCGACAATCTTGGCGACTATCTTGGCAAACTGGGGAAACTTTACAGAGTTTATTCGAGGTTATTTCAAATGACGAGTTCATCTCAGGTATGTAGGTGTCCTTTAAAGTGAAGATATCCTGTGTGGTTTCCTTGTGGTAAACAGCTGTTGGTGAATCTTCTGGCGATTGCAGAGAAGTCCCACTTAAACTGTTGATGCCTTTGAGAGTGTCAGTTACCTCTGATTGAGAGGAGCCATCAGAATCAATAAAACCAAAGTCTGAGTTGTTCACATTCATGTTCAGATCCCCTAAAGTTAGTGGGAAAGACATGTTGCTGTTGATGCATGTGGGTTCAGGTGGATTAAGCTCTTCTCCTGTCTCTGTCGGAGTGCTCGTTGTATCTGGTACCTTTACTTCTGGGTTAGGTGAAGTAGTGTTTGACATGTTCAAAAGGTCTGTAACACTATCAAGAAGTATTTTAGGTTCTGAGTTCTTAAATGTGACCTTATTTCCACCAGTTTCCTCAGTGTTTAATGTTAAACAAGGATTTATGACTTTGGGTTGTCCATAGTTTCCTCCGCATACACGTCCATACAAGTCTTGCTCAAACAACATCCCTCCCCAGCAGTCTCTCTCGTATTCCAGAGGTTCATATTTGAACTTCCTGAGCTTTTCTTCAGACATAAATCCTGGTGATGTAATGTTTGTGTACAGTTGGGAGCGGATGCCGAGGGAATCAGAGGTCTCGTTGCTCGTGTGAGGGTCTGGAGATACACCGTTTCTTTTACATTCCCCTTCTCTTCCACGCTGTAGTGAAGCCACACCGGTCTGTGAGAGGAAGTAGGCTTCTTTATGGACAGCAAGCTCCTGACCTCTGTGCAGCCAGCCATCAGAGTAAATCTCATTAACTGAGGTTCTTAAAAGTCTCCGTGGAGGCAAAGGCGGGGGTTCCTCTTTACGTGTTTGCAGATCTTGTGTGTGATTACTGGGATTAGTATGGGATGAAGTTGGACTGGTTCTCAGCTCTTTCAGATGAAGACTACCGTTAGGTGATCTGAGCCTGCTAGAGGCAAAGGCATTGAAGGGGTCATCCCATTCTCCTGCACTCTCTGACATGGTGCGAGGGGCCGAGTGGTCAGGGGAGTTAAGTGTGGCTGCTACTTTGGGTAAAAATGCAGGGAGAGATATCTGCCTAGCTACAGGCCTGGGGCGCTCCCGCTTTATGGAAGCCATATTTACAGCATTAATATCATGAGCTGGGCTAGGCGTGCATGGCTGGGGGGAGGGCAGAGTGGTGTAGTGAAAGGGGGATGAGCCAGAAGAGGAACAAGGCACAAAAGGAGGGGACCTCTGCGACTCTTCGGCTATGAGTTCCTCAAAGAAAGGGTTGCGCTGCACATGTGGGAGGAAAGGGTTGGAGGGAGACATAGGGGTTGACGAGGGAGAAGAAGAAGGGGTGAAAGGATTGGTCTGATTGCAGTCATCAGGTGAGACATGACCAGAGGGAGAGGAGCACTGAGCGGGTACAGGGGAGTGAGGAGGGAAGGGAGGAGCTACATCTGAGCTGCTTTCTACCTTAGGAGAAACTTCCAGCCTGTGGAGGAAAATAGGTCACAATAGTCCTCTTAGTTATTAATGTGCCAGGTTACCAAATGGGGAGCATCTTTTGCACACAAACAGAAAAGACAACCAAATACTAGCTGACATCAAAGTCGGGCACTATTGCTCAAATAACTTTGTCTCAACATCAGTAGACAAAAAGTTGCCAAATGAAAGATTATGGAAACAGTAACACAAATCAAATTAAAAAAAGCAAAGCACATTTGCAAAATAATCAAGCAAAATAATAATGTAGCCATTCAAGAGCGCCTGCACTGGTACAGTAGCTATTTTGTTGGGTGAGCTCATATCAACTTGGAATGACTGTCTTCACATCCCTTTGTAGGAGTATTTTCTAAACCACACTGACGTCTCTTTGAGAAATGCAGACACACAGTGATAAAGGAAATGGAAATGCTGGAGTGTGCTATTTATGGAACATATTTAATGAGATGATGATACAGCATGGTCCTAAAATGGAGAAAACTGTCAATTAAATCAACTTCACTTTCAAATGAGCAAGGAGCAGAGCAAACACTGAACTCAGGACACCCAACTGAATGCAGGCCTCCCACATACTGTACATTAATCAAACACTGGAAACGAGCCTTTAAATGATGCCGACTCACCTTGGCTTGTTCTGGGATTCACCAGAGCCAAACCAGCCTCTGAGCCTCCCCTCTGATGTTGAAGCGGCCTTGTTCAGGTCTGACTTAGCGGGCAGAGAATCACTCCTCCCTCCAGAGAACAATGTCTTTCTTAGCTTCCTCCCTTTTTCGGGTGAATCACCGGTGGATGAGACGACTGGCAACTCTGCCTGCACGGGATGACCCGCTGTCTGAGCTTGCCGAATTGGAGGAGGTGACGCCTGAGCTTCTTTTTCTTCCTCCTTTTCCTCTTTCTTCATCTTGTCAAAGGACCAGCGTTGGCCATCAGCAAAAGAGCCTTTGTCCTCACTTCTCCTGGTGAGGTTCTGCAGGGAACGGGAGAGTGGTGAGCACTTCTCCAGCAGGACCATCTTGGATGGGAGGGCTCCTGAACTCTTTGGAGTTGATGGCTCAGAGTCATAGACATGGCTTCCATTTATACATAATGAAGACTTGGATTGGATCATTGTCTGACCCTTGAGAGAATCTACTGCGAGGTTTGTTCGAGGGAAGCCTGTTGTGATCTTGCTAGCTTCATCGCTGAAGGCTCGCTTGTGTGTGAGAACCTTTGTGGTGTGCTGGCTGGTGAGCACTGTCAGAAAGAAGGGAAAGCTCAGTTATAACAATAATCAATGATTATAAAGATCTTTTTAATTTGAACACAAGTGAATCAGAGAAATCTCACTGAATCTCTATGTTGAGGAGGACAATCTTTGCTATCACTTTTCTTTTAAATTTTTTAAAGCAATAACAACAGCAACAAGACCACTTGGAAGCGGTGCCACAAGCTGTAAATATAGCACTGACATTCTGTTAAGATTTCTCCTTTTAGCTTTGTTTTGGTCTCCACCAACTCTTGAGAGAAGTATCTGACCTTCTAGCTTGTGTAGCTAGTGTACAGCGGTATTTTCAGAGATTTTTCTGGCAAAAACAGTTCCATGTGTGGCTAAAAACAGGGCTGATCAAAGCGGTGAGGCTAAAATGGTAAACATCAGTAGAACAGTGAGGTGAGAGAAACTAAAATGCACCAAAGAGTTGAGTTAAATATCTGTGGATTCAGCTCTAAGTGACTCCTTCCACGTTACCTGTACCAATTTGAGCCATTGTTGGTGTAAAACATCAATAAGGGTAGTTGTAATAACTGACAGGTTGCAGCTTGTCTGTGATCAAGTTAATTACTAGGTAACAGCCTAAACTGGAGCCACATTTACTAAATATATGGTATTTTATGTGTGAAATAGCACTTCTGCCTTCTCTTTCATTTTAATGCTCTGCCTCTGATTGAGTAGTTCCAACAGTCACCAGCATTTTCTCATGCACATGCAAATAAATTCAGAGCCCACCTTTTTTAGCTATGTCTGTTGCTCCGTAGGGGGTGTCCACTCTCACTTTGCTAGTGTAGATGGGGGAACTGGGAGGGTCTGACAGTAGATCCAAACTGGGTGGAGGGTTATCGCTGGCCATGGAAGACAGACTGCTCTCTGAGGCCAGAGATGAGCAGGACCTGGTGTCAGACGACTTGCGCAGCTTTCCTTTGAAGAAATCTTTCATCTTGCTCCTCTTCTCCTCTGCTATCTCCACATCTCGTGACTCCACCACCCCTACACCCTCCCCTCCAAATGGCTGCCCCAGGGATCCTGACAGGGCGGCGTAGCGGCCTGGGACAATGGCCGAGGAAGACTCCACATCTCCCCTCTTCCTCCCTGTGACGCGATCCTTGAGTTTCCCAAAAGCAGAGCGAGGTTTGTCCTTCACGGTGAGGTCGAACATACTGGCCGTCATGTTATTGCGGGTGAACTGGACTGTCACCTGGAGCTCGCCACGTTCCTTCTCCTTTCTTCCAGCCTTGGAGTTGAGCTTGAACCATCTGGAGAAATAACAGAACAGGCAACAACTTATATCGCCACCTTAAGTAAATCCCTCACTTTAGCAGGATACTGGAATTGTACAGCCATCTGTTAAAGCTAAAAGCAGAGGTTGCCTGTGATATCTGGCCACTCACCAGGACAAAACAAGCAATAACAAAAAAAAATTCTCATTTTCCTTTTGGCAATACTTCCCACATATTACATAATCTGGCATACTGCTGAGGACTGTGCTGCACTATACTCAAGAATCTGTTTTACAAACTCAGAGCAGGAAATCTCAACCCAAATTCCTCATGGTTCACCCACCTACACCTGGTGTGTATGCACTACACAATATAAGGAGTCAACCAATGAAATCTGTCTGCCTCCAAAGCCCAGTGTGTCGACCAGA